ACACACAGACCATGAATCATGAACCAATATAAATCTTAGTTTAATTTAACTTCTTCCACTTCCTCTCTCACACCATTAACCTTCTCATTCCTCACCTGATCCATCGTTGGACCATACGACCAGCTACACACCACGTAATATATTACATTAACGAAGCTCAAGATCGCTAAGATCCAGTAGTAATAGTCGTAATGACCCTTGTTGATGTTATCTTCAATCCAGCTCTCTGTACCCTTCTTTGAGCTATTCTTGACCACATTTAGGATCACACTAGCCAAGATATTAGCCACTGCCATTCCTAGACCGAACAGCGAAGCCGCGATGCTCGACATGCTTTTAGGAAACTCGGTATAGAAAAACTCGGTCTGTCCTATCGCGGTTAAGGCCTCTGCTAAACCGTGTAGCACATACTGCGGTATGAGCCACATAGCTGAGATGTTCACTGTTGCGGTAGCGTTGTTTGCGAGTCCTTGGTTTATCGCGGTTTTCCTTCTGTAATGCTCAACTGTTGCGGAAACCCCCATTGCTAGGAATGATATGAATAGCCCTAGTCCCATTCGAATTTTGACACTAATCCTAACCGGTCTGCCTCGGATCTTTGAAGCTAGAGGGAGGATTGCGCGGTCGTAGAGAACAACCCATGAGATTAAGGCTATGATCGTGAACATACCGAAAGACCCAGCTGGGATTTGGAAGGTCGAATCGCTGCTCAAACGTCTATCCATTGAGTTAGCTTGAAGCACCTGAAACGAGTTCTGGCTAACATTTATCGACATCATTATCCCCGTGGACCATACCGGTATCACCTTGACCAATGCCTTGAGTTCCTCAACTTGGTCTGTTGTGCAGAGCCTCCATGGGTTTAAGGTCAAACCATCAGAACCAATGTCTTCCTCGCGATTTCTTATTACACAAGCTTTGTTCAGAAACCTAATTAAACAATTTGCAAGAGAGTGTCAAAGTCAAGAAACCAATCAAGAACTATATATTATATATGTAATTGATTTCAATTTCTTACCTCAGTTTATCACTTGGAGCTTTGAGTTCAGAATCTTTCAAGTGGTAATAACAATCGTCGGAGTCATTATGATCCGGTAGACTTAACTTCCTGTTCACGTAAGCTGCAACAGCCACTTGAGCTAAACCGGTGAACAAACTCTTGGTCACATTGCGTTTAACGTAGAGAGGAGACGCGAAGACAAACAAAATACTCGCGAGCAGCATGAGAATCGCGGGTATTCCAAACCCGATTCTCCATCCGAGATGATCTTGAATGTAAACAATGACAGTGAAAGCAATCAAGACAGCAACCGATGAACAAGCGTAGTACCAACCAAAGAAACTCTCCAGAACTCTCTCGTTCTTGGGATTCTCTTTATTATCCAATTGATCAGCACCAAAGGCTAAAGAACATGGCCTGATTCCGCCTGAACCAATCGATATAAGCGCAAATGCGGAATACAAAAGCGCCAATTGAGAAGATGTCGCGGCCACGGAACTGCAATTGGTTCCAACACACGGTGATGGCTTCACTTGCGGTAACATAGCCGTTAGCCACAGAACCACCATCCCCTGTAATGTTTAATTCAGATAATTTATCAACAACAATATCAAACAAAAAAAACAAATTACACGATAAGCAATTTGCATTATTGAGATTTTGTCTATCTACTATTGTAGTAGGACAACTAATTAAAAAATGTAGTCTTGAATTCTTTCGTAAAATCTGTAGATATCTTTACAGAAAATATACTTCCAAGAACAAGAATACAAGTTTTAGGTCAGATCTATAAGTCACTTGTCATAATCATACGATTTTCTTAAGGAAAATGATTGATATTCGAGATGAATGATTGCTATAGATTTCAAAATCAATTGATGTCACCAAGTGAATATCATAAAGTTTTTTATTCAAGTGGGTGAAATAAAAAGTTTGATCAAGAATGGAGACTAGTACGAAAACATGGGTCACAAATCGAAATTGCTTTCAGCCTAATAACACTCCTATGTTGGCCAAAAATTAATGTCAAATCCTTAAATAGTGGCAAAAATGGGTCCACGTCAGCTTGATCC